CACCTCAGAATTAGTAATACAGGGAGACAGAAGAGGACCAAGAGTGAAACTTGACTCCTGTAACTGTAATCTCAGTGGTATAGATGGCACTAATTCTATATTGTAGAGTTCCACACCTAGAAAAGCCAAGTACTATCTACTCAGGCTCCCTGAATTCTACAGCACTGTATGCCACCCCCATGCCCTCCAAAGACAATTCCCTATAGGTCAGGAATACAGTATGAAATACAGAAAATTTCTTCATATATTATATGCCCATGATTTTGTCATGGTCCAAATTTCTGACTGGAGGGAAAAAAATCAATTTACAGTAGCAGGGCCTAGACYAACAGCACCCAGACCCCACTAGGTATCAGTGCACCAGTTACCAGAGTATCTGCAATTCCCACATGCTGTTGAAGGGGTGACATCTGAGACTGTGCATGTGCTGTCACAGGTAAAGAAGTCTGAAAATCATGTTATGTTTCTACTTTCAAATGAAGAAACAGACCGCTATTTCACAAGCCAGAGGATGACACTGAGCAAGGAGAACGCCAGCCTAAGGTTACTTCCCCTAAAACCACGGCTTATTGAGCTCCAGAAAGGAAAAAGCGGTTATGGATTCTATCTACGGATGGAACAAAATACTGGTGGTAAGAACCAAGTTGACACACAGACCATGACATCTCCTATATGATGTTTGCAACCCTCATTCTCTTTGGCWTCTTACTGGCCATATAGGAAAAATCCTCAAGGAAAAYAGCCTCAGCCTCAACTGCTATTCTGACCACTTGGCTTTGCCAWGCATTTTGATGCCTTTAAACTCACMAAGTTCTGCCTTCACATCCATCTTTCTCCCCTTCTTATCTTAGATCACATAATCAAAGATGTTAATTCTGGAAGCCCAGCAGCTATGGCAGGTCTCAAGGACAATGACATCTTAGTGGCTGTCAATGGTGAGCGAGTGGATGGTCTGGATCATGAAAGTGTAGTGGGAAAAATTAAGCAGTCTGAGGCAAAAACCTCCCTGTTGGTGGTGGATAAGGAAACTGACACCATGTATAAACTGGTAAGAAAATGTAAACTACCGCTAGGAATTGGTAATTTATCACAATGAAATAACCAATCTGCTCTGACACTTTTTCAACTTGCAGGAAGCAACTCTACTTACACTTGTACAGAAAGTCACTAAACACCCAAATCTTTAGCCTCTTTCTAATTTTTACAGACACTATTAGAATAATTCTAAATTCAAACATATTAAAAAGGGTTAAGCTTGCTGATAAGCGGCAAATTCAGAGCTACATGACTGTTCAACCATCTATGAATAATAAAGTTCCCTTGTCACACAGATTAACACTGTAGTCTTCCACCCAGCCAGAAATTAATGGGGAAGAGTTCTTCACTGCAGCTCAAGTCTGAGTCATTAACAAAGTTTCAAATAATGTTGAGCATGAGATCTTGAAAARTTTCACAGAAAAACATAAGTTTTTATGTTAAAATTATTTGTCACTTCTTTCAGGCTCAAATTTCACCCTTCTCATACTACTACAAAGCACAGGATCCAACTCCAGCTAAAATAGACGAAAGAGTGGAGCTGCACACTGAGCAGAAAGTGAACTACAAGCCAAGAATCTGCAAGATGGTGAAAGGACCTAATGGATTTGGCTTCAGTTTAAACATGATCAAGAACAGGCCTGGATTATTCATCAGTGAGGTACTGATAAAATGAGCAGCAAGGAAAAGATCAAGTAGTCTGTTGGACAGCTTTCTCCCTTCCATCCTGCAAAATAGAAAAAATGCCTCTRAAGTCTCTTCTCCAATGTTCTCAGAGAAGAGCTAGAAATGCTTAAGTCTGACATTGTTGGCTGAAGTAAAAAATRAGCCCCAGAAAACATTCTTCCTTCTATTAGACATCCAGAGGGAAGGGGAATTCAGCTTTTGCATAATTTTTGCTTTTACTCATGAGTCTTGTACACTAAAATTAGTATTTCAGACAGAATTGGTTTTTACTGAAGAACAGTCTTATTACAGGAGAGACACCTTTGYCCTACTTCTACCCACCTTCTCTGAATTCCACAGCTGGTTAAGTCAAACTCCTGTTTTTGTCCCAAATTACATTGCTTTCTTGAGAGGAGGGGTTCCACTCATTAGTAAGGGATCTGTGAAATGTATAAAACTTTAAAATTATTGAACAAGACCTGCAAATACTTAGAAAACTRCTTTTCCTCCTGTCTTCGTGGTTCTACCATGCCACACTTCTATAATGTAAGTCTATCAAAATCAAGATATATCTTAAATCTCAAACTGAAGGGCTCCATGTTTATGATGTCTGGGCCCCTTGCCTGTCCCAATTCCTTCCTGCCCAACAAATCTCCCCTTCCCCATGCTTAYATCACCCTCCTCTAGGAAAAGGAGTAACACAGCTAACCCTCWGCTGTTATTACATCTTTCCAAGTTTTTTGCCAACATCCTGCTTTGAACCCCCCTCTGCAGGTACAAACCCAGGGGCCAGCTGGCAGAGCAGGTGTGGAAAACAATGATTTCTTGGTGGAAGTGAATGGAGTGAATGTGACGAACGAATCCTATGACRAAGTGGTGGCAAGGATCCAAAGCAGTGGGGACACACTGACACTGCTGGTGTGCAGCAAAGATGCTTACAGGTACTTCCAAGGCCAAAACATTCCCATCACAGCCTCCATGGCAGATTCAGACACTTCAGAACCTCCTGCTTACACAGAAAATCATCCATCAGAGCCAGAGAGAAACTCACCTGAGCCAAGGGAAAGGGTGAGTAATCCTGCATTAGGCAGATGCTGAGGGACCCCACAGGGGATACGTAAAGAACTTTTTTCCAGGTAGTATGTTTGCCAGAGCTAGGATTGTTAACTTGAGCCTGGATTTTTGGAAGTTATTAAAAGGAAAGCTGCTAATTATCAYGAACAACTCTTCCTTTCCCCACATACAATAGAGGTGAGTATCTTTAATATAAGATTAAATCACACAAAGAAYGCACATACAAGAGATTTTATGGAACAAGTTAATCCAAATACAGTAATMCTTAATGAGGATGGGAAACATGCAAAACAACTGTGGAAGTGCAGGAAAAACTGGTTAAATACACCAAAAACATGAACAACTTTACTGAATATCACATGAAATAATTCAAAATGGATAATTTCGGAAAAGGAACAGCAACTGATAGGTGATGATGGCATTTTCTAGGCAATGTACTCATTTGAAATTATTTTACTCACTTCATGCCACTAAGATAGAATCTGAACCATGAATAAAGTCAGAAAAGCAGGAAGATATTACTTCTTGAAACACTTCTAACCCTCTGTGTGGTCAGCCTTAAATATTTAAATGCTTCTTTTCTGATCATGCGAAAGAGACAGACCAGGAAGAATAAGTCCAATACTATTTCCCATTTACTTTTCATTAGCCTTGTCTGCAAATGCCCAGCTACAAGTTTTTTCAAGAATTTAATCTCCAAGCTGCATTTTGCAGATCTGAAGTCAGCATGACTTTCAGGTTCAAATTGACCAGTTACGGGAATTCAACAACAGGAACGCCCTTATTGAACAAATTTCTCTCACAAACCAGAAAAGCCTTTGAACAACAAAAATTGTATTTGTTGGTTCACTCTGCCATCTGAACAAGTGTATGATTAGTGCAGATGGAAATAGGAGTCTGCAACAGTGCAGACTATCAAATGTTTGYAAACTGAAAATAATCTCAGTGTATTTATTACTCCTCCTCAGGCAGAYTCATCTTCCTCTTCACAATCAGCTGCCTCCACAAGAGCTGACGGTGACAACAGTGACGACACAAAGTTGTGAGGAGACAAAACTATGCCAAGAACAAAAAAGAAACCTTCCAAATCTTTTCTTCAGTTCTTCTTTGCTATTCCACCTTTCAGAACTTGTCTGTTCCAAGGAGTGCCAGAGCCATAAAGGACTGCAAACTCTTGCTGCAATAAACACTTCAGTGTAACTTGCATACATTTAACACACTGCAATTGTGCTCCACTGACTTTCTGCCTTGCTAAGCSGGCACTCAGTCAGTTCCTTCTGAAAAGGTTTAAAGAACTGCAACTTTATAATYGTCCTGCAGCAGAAGGTGGAAATGTTTTAGAAATTCATGAGCATCTTAACCTTTATGGATAAGCTCTTAATCAAAAGCAACTGCTTTTGCCCTATCTCCCAGGAAATGCAATTCTCCCCCTAATCCAAGTCCATCAATTCAATCTCTGTGGCCTCTCTTTGCTTACAGCAATACAGCTGCTCTGAAATGGCATAAGCCCATGTACTCTACATATTATGCTCCTTTTTCCTGCTAACATTGCAAATTGCTTTTCAAACATTAAGCAAACCTTGTAATTCACAACTCAAGAAGTTTAATCACTATTCACTCCTCTGCATACAGCAGAACAGTGTATGTAATTCAGTCATGYATGTTTTTCTAACCCCAATTCACCACCACATTGTCTTGAAAGTGGCATAAATAGTTCTGYAATATTGCTGCTGTATACTTTGCCTCTTTGCTGTACACCAAAGACAATATAGAAATAAATTGTTTAAAGTGGTTATTTTTCCCTCCTCGAGGTCTTACTTTCACCACCTACGATTTATGTTCCAGAACAATTATAAAACAAACAAAGCCTCAGAGAATGGCTTTGGGAACCTACAAGTTTAAGTCACATRAATAAAACTTGAAACATACAATCTAAACAAGGCATGGCAGTGGTCTTTGACTTTACAATGAACTCTAGCAAGAGAAATCCAAAACTCCAGTTACACTTACGCTGGGAGAGAAAAGGACTTCAACACTCAGTAAGAAAAAGCAAATCTCTAGTTCCTAAGGACAGTAGGTACCAGTGATACATACTAGCACACACTACACACAGAAATGGAGTGTTCTCTCCTCCCGACCTCTGCCAGACAGCAAATCCTAACCACCTCCTAGCTCAAACCCAGCCAAATCTTTSGGACTGACAAAAAACAACTGTGATGCTTGCATATTACAAAAACTTCTTTAATTCCACAGACGCAAACATTCAATTCCAGAATTGCCATCCTCCAAATCCCAATTATGCRTTGATTTTCAAAAGAAAAATCACATTTCCTGGTGCCTTCTATGAAGATGTTGTTCCAACAGTAAAAGGTGTTCCCTCAGCCAGCTTACCACAAGTTCTGATGCCCCTGGATAGCGAAGTACCCAGGATTGCCTTTATCGCTTGGCAATGAACTGATTCATGTTCAATACACACAGCCCTTCCCTCCCAGCTGTGGCACTGAACAAAATGTGCCAGAGAGCTTGATGATGACACGTGTGGAGGTTCAAAGAGCCAGAACACACAGAATAGTCCTGCCTCACCAAGTTTTGCAGTTACACTGCCAGAACACACAGAACAGTCCTGTCTCTCTGAGTTCTGCAATCCACAGGAGTTRCAGCAGTGCAGGACAGAGAGCAGTGCACAACTCAGTTCTGCCTCAGAGGGCCATATGCTTTTCTGGGGCTTGTTTGTGTGCTAAATAGAGGAAGAGGATACTGGAGAGGGCACTAACTAGGAATATCACATCAAACCAACGGTGATAGAAGTTGAACTGGAGCTCTCCCAGGACTTCTGTAATGATGGTGCGGTATTCCAGAGGCATGCTCATGCGGATCAGGAGCACRGATGACACAAAGTACATTCCCTGGAAGTTAAAACAGGGACAGCAGTTATTGCTTCAGCACAGGCTCTGTGGCTACCAAAGGGCAGCACACAAAGATACTGTTATGTGTTTATACACACACAAACAGGCATGCATGCAGATATCCAAATAGGTGTGCCCACAACTCTCCATACTCACCATGATCTGTGCTAACAGCAGAACAATAACATTGGAGGACTTGCTGCTGGAAATGGCATAGAAGAACTAGGGAAAACACAGGAAATAAGCAGTCAGGTAAGTCTGATGTGCCTTAGGACAGCGTGAAAAGTACATCCATTCAATACTTTTTCAGTTAAAAAAAAATTTAAACCATACATTCTAGATGGCTACCTGTACCCTACTTTCACAAACCTGCAGTGTTASTCTGAAACATTAATTTCCCACACCAGTTGCACCTTGTGGTAAAGATCACAGAGCAATACAGAGAAGTTTAAGCATAGGTACCAAAGGCCAGGTCAAGTCAATGAGTCACATATCTGTTGAGTTAATGCCTTTCAGTCCCACCAGCAGCTTAATTTAAGTAATCCAAATGCTTTCAAGTACCATCTCATCAATCTTACTAGAAAACCTTGGCTACAGCATCATTTTGAGCCTTTGCTTACATCTAGCATCTTATTTAACACYTACATCTCTTCCTGACAGATATTTAGTGGGGAAATAACCTGTTAAAGGTATTTTTCCTACCTTCCTCCCTCTGCAAAAATTTATATTCAGATATGTCAACACAGATGCATACTGGAAGTTTATACAGYACTTGTCCCATCTAAAGGTAAAGACCTGGTAACAGATTTCAGTGTCTCAAACCACTTAAGAGTCGTGGTTCTTACCTTTGTAAGTGTGATTAACAACCCTCTAATAGAGGTAACAATGATTATTCCAACAAGAATAAAGGAAATGTGCTGAGACCAGAATTTGACCTGTATCAACAAGAAGAACACAGTTAAAACTTTAACACTAAMCTCATTTACACCACATAGCATAGCTGCCAATTCTTCAGGGTCTTTGTATCTCCTAATTGGACAAATTTCCATTATAGACAGGTTTATATAACAGACATTTTCACGAATGTATTTCCAACTGTTTACTTCAAACACACAAGAAAACAGATTCAGCTTATACCAATAACAAAAAACCCCATTTTCACAGRGATGTATTTTAAAAGTGCAAATGACAGAACACCTATTTGCATAAGCAAACAAAATTACTCTGTAGCTGAATGTATTAATCTAAGCAGGTTGCTTCAAGTTCTTCCATTTCTCCAAAACAGAAAGAGCAAATCACTGCCTCTCTGGCAAGACCACATCATCATTTGTGCATAAAATCAGTGTGAAAGCAACGTCCATGGTGCATTTTCCCTTCCTCCTCAATAAGCCAAAAGCCAAAGCCACATTCTCAGGGTCTCTCACTTTCTCCCTAGCAGCAGAATGGTTTTATTTAGATAAGATTTGAATTGTTGAAAAGACTGTAAGAATTAATAAAGGCTCACATCAAATTGGATTCCCAGGTAATTTACAGTGATCTCAATTCCTCTTGTGACTGGATCAGTCTTCCCCACACGGTCAAACACAATATTGATGGTTGCCTGYAAGAGAGATGCAATTACACTCAAGCAAAAAGGCAAAAGTGTTTTTCTGACACGTGAGACACATGCATGACTCTTACATGGTACCACCATGGAAAGGGCACAGGGAGGTTGGATTGTCTAAGAAGGCACAAAACACACCCATGTATGAATYACTTGTCTAATGCTCTATACAAAAAGACAGATCCAGAGCTTGATTTCAACCAGGGGCCAGTTTCTTTCAGAATTTCTGCATTTTAAAGAAACTAGAGGATTACTAAATGAACTGCATGTATAGCATATTCTATGCAGGGTATGACATTTACATACATCCACACAAAATGCAATGAAACATTTACATACCATGAAGATTTTCCAGACACAATAGATGGAGAAAAAATAACCCAAAAAGTTAAAGTATTTTCCTTGGAARGTTTTGGAGTACTCTATTCTTTCCTGGAAATACAAAAGGAGGGAGTGGGAATAGAATATAAAAAATATGTAATTTTCACTATCAACCACAACATTAAATTGTAATGGAGCATCAAGARTAACAAACAACACAGCTCTACCTTTCTACACCTCTTAATTCAAATGCTTCTGAACTGTTAACTCTTAATTCATAAGTTTGTGAATGGTTATAGGGCCATGGGGCAGACTCAAGAGTGTATCTGAACTGGAAGGAAAYGGTAATCTAGCCCCAAAGTTAAAGAAACAGTTCCTCACTCCACTGCATCACATTTCATCATTTACCTACTGAACAGGTTTCAATTTCTCATAACATATGTACTCTTTCAAACTACTCTGACTTCCTAACATCCACCTGGGCAATTATCTGCTGTGTACCTTTGTTGCATGCAAGTCAGCAGTTTCTAGGAAAAGCTGCCGACTCAATTCTTCCAGGGCATCCACTTCTTGYTGGATAAGGGACAGATCTGGCAAACCAACACAGTCAAGGCTAGAACACATCACAAATTCTTGATTAAAAACAAAACATTCCCCACCTTCAGCCCAAAGGCCACATCTAATGGATTAGTTGCTTTTTAGATCCAGATCAGCATTTTGATTCAGTCTTCATGCTCYTCATTAATATAGCACCAAAGAAATCTCAAGGATGTACATGGTGTGTACATGTACACAACTCCAGTTTAAGGAGGTAGGCAGGACACAGTATTTAGGCAGTCATGCAACAAACTCTTTATTTCCTGGGGAACACATCACAGAATAGAACCAGAGCTCTCAAAAACTGCTGCTGCACTTTGATCAGTATCCCTTGCCACTGAAGTGCGTCTCACAATATGTCATCTCAGATCATCTTCATAAACAAAATTGCTGAATAACTGCTCCAAGAGATTAGTGATTACTATGAAGAATCTGTCAACCAGCCAAATTCTGATTTTAGTAGCTAGTGGGAGAGGAAGAAGAGACCTCAGCCTTAAMCATACAAAATGCACACTACAAGTGGTCTGACAGAAATTGTTAGTAAGCAACTCTGTAAGAGAAGTAGAGACCTTTGTAATTCCCAACAGATTCTTTCTACAGGGAAGGTTGAAACTGGATGGTCCCTTCTAACCCAAGCCATCCTATGACTGTGTCGTAAATGTGCACGTCTGTGCCCTGATCTGCTGTAAACCTCAACTGCGGTGATGCAACAGCACATTTATAGAGCAGGGCAGAAACATAAAACTTCTGCCTGTGTCACAGTAAAACTGTGTCCAACCCCTGGGCRAAAGGTCAGACAGTGTTAGAGAACWACCTTCCACGAGAAATGTGTTGAAACACAAATGCTTTGTAACTGTCCCAGCTAACACTCTACCTTCCAAAACAAAGAAAGCTGGATCCACCTCCCAAGGCAGGTGCCAGCATGCAGATGAAGGATACTTTCACTGCCAGGAACAGATGTTGTAACACTTTTTATCATTCCCCAGAAGCCAGTGGGTTTGTTATGCACTTCTCCTCTCTGGAACATTGTCCTGTGAGCCACCGCTATCCTGAAAGATCAGAAACCAACAATTCCTTAAAAATAAAATATTTTAATGAAAAATCAAAACAAGAAAAAAGAAAAAAAATATCCACCAGTTTCTTAGAAGATGCTGTTAAACTAAATTCACTGCAAACAGAAGACCCCTTTTTTTTTTCTCCTAAGCACCAATCTTGCTACATAAAATTACCCTGATTAGCTCTGGAGTACAGCCCAGATCTAATCAAGTGAGATTCAATGAGATACTTCTCAAGTCTTCCATTCAGGATCCTGTTTCAATCCTAAAGGGGATTAAACCCAGTTAAAAATAAGAATTCAAATTGATTTCTCAGTCATATGACTAGTTGCTTTTCGATCCTCAAACACGTGATTGTTTTATCTCAAGCTCAGGAACTGGAAGACTTCTCATGCTCTTCTCTCCCTCTGGACACCTCTTCTTTATCATTGCACATCCGCMTTCTCCACAGAACTATGAGCATTGGATGGTGTGCAGAGCACTCTCTGATATACAGTCACTCACTGCTGGGCCGCATGACAAGCTGTTACAAAGCAGAAACACACAAATCCATTCTTGGACTGAACCACTGGATGCTTCAGGCGACCTGAATGTGACTCCTGAAGTTAATTCCAACACTCCAGCAGCAGCTGCATATCATCCCTCACACTCCCACGTGCACCATGGCATAATCCTCAAGAGCACTGTTGGCTTCTGGTCTCGTTCCCTCACATTTCTCCCCACTGAAATTTGTGAGCAAGTTATCCACTCCTAAGCTGAAAACTATTCACAGGATTCTCAGGGTGATCCATGATTCAGTGGCGTTTAGTTCCTCTCTGGAAGCTGCAGCCACCATTGCTACATTTGGTGCTGAGCCCTCTTCAGGGTTGTTGATAAGCAGCATAATATTAAAAAAAAAAAATCAAAATCATTCCATCATTCCTCTTTCACATCAGCAGAAGCAACACCCTTGGGGCACCCCAAATAACACACATAAAATACATATGGCCACAGACTACAAGTAACAGAAATCTTAGAATCCTGAGAGCTGTCAAATATAAGAAATGCACTTTTAATCCTTGCTTTCTTCCCAGTACTGAATTCAAATGTTCCATCCCAAATAATCCACAGCATTGCAGCAAAAATGCAGCAATGTCCAGGTGAAGCACAAGGCTATAGATAAAGGCTAATCTTTTCTTTTGAAAGGTGACAGGGATCTCTGCAGCCACACAGCAGCCAGGAGTAGTGGAGACCTCACAGAAAGGATTCAGAGGCAAAGCCCCCCATACACCATTAGTGCAGATTAGTAATAATGTTATGTGACAGACCTGTCACATCAGCTGATCTGACTGTAACACGATTCAAATGAAGCAATGCTATCACAGAATGGTGGCATTTCAAACCTGAGGCTTAGTTATGTCACACCTGAAAGGATGAGCATAAAGAATCTGACAGCCTTAGAGGTGAGTTTCTATAAGGCATTATTTGATTGTGTTCAGGAAGGGCGGAACAATGTTTCCTGAGCAAAAACCATCAGAGAAAACAACTTTCACCAACTGGCATGAGAAGAAATGTCAGAATCTGCAAAGAAAACTTAAGTTTTATTGCCTTATAACTCTTGTGTTCACTGGCAAGTTCTGAGCTATCAGTACGATTGAGAAGGTGGCCATCAAGTCACTGACAATTTATGGAACTGTACCATTTACCAAACACTGGGAAATACTGCTATTCCCACTTTTTCTGCCAATTATTTGGATTGCATTCGGACTAGATACATTCCTAACTTTTTAAATTCTGCTTTATATGAGCAAAGAGTCCARTCATGCAAGCTGTTGCTCCCTGTCAAAGCAAAGAGGAAAACAAAATCTGTAGAGCTCAAGCTTCCGCCACTTCTTGCACAGTTCTGAGACCACTTAGTTTCACAGTTTGCTTAGTTTTTTTTTGTTGCCTTTTTTTTTAACACATATACATGAGCTTCATTGTAATTCCCAAGTGATTAATACATGGCTTTTCATAATGATTGGAAAGCAGCTCTGCTCAGAAGATTTCCTGGCCACTGGAAGGCAAGAAAGTGCTAGTCAGTTTGAAGACCCTGGCATCCTTACTTCAGCCCAACATCACTCTCCCTGGATCACAGGTCCAAAAACAGCGYATGAAACAACAGAGCACAAAGTCAGAAACCACATTACACAGTATTTTTAACTTCAAAGCCAGTCTTTTAGTGTGCTTCCAGTCAATTAAATCAATCAAACCTGAGTAATTAAATTCTMTCACTACTTAGCATCTCACACATGACCAGAGAGTTAACCATTGTTCACTATTTAACTTTTTCAAAGTGGAAGGAGGTTATGCTTTTAACTACATCAGTGTAGTTAATAACGTAGCTACTACTGATCAGCAGATACATACACGGTGATAAATTCAACAAGGTTAGACTATMTAAAAGCTCCCCTGCACACCTTAAAAGGCTCCATTGAAACATTACGGCATCTAAGTTAAAGTTTGGGAGACTGCTGTGAGAACTCAGTGTCAGACAGACAAACTTTTGAGAGTTCTCCAGTAACTGCATTTATTCTGCACTATTAGCAAGACATGAAATATATAATTTGTAACAGCAGACAAAAAAACCTTCTCAGTGTAAATGAAATTACATTGTTTCTGAAAGTAAGTTTTTTTAGCTTGGGACACATGAAATAAGTGAAACCAACACAGAGTTCTGATGGCACACTTGTGTACTACAGGATATCCACATTAGCAACATTTTGTAATTCTGCAAAACTTAACTAACATAAACCTTGCCATTTGCAAGAATACAACTGTGTCCACACCAGCTCACTGGTCTCTTCAGCTTTCACCAGGAACCACCATATGCACAAATCACTTTCTGCCCTGAAACCACCAGTAAGAGCCAGCTGCAGTGGCCTAAGGGTCACTGACTTGGCAGGAGAGAAAGGTGCCCTCCCTACAGATTAGTTATGCTGCCATCAGAATTACAAATGGTCTTGGAAGTGTAATCTGTGTCACTGCAGCCACAAAGGGCACTACTTAGTTTTAAAAAACAGTCATGTATCAGGCCAGAACTAAACGCTACACAGCTCAACTCAATTCAGATTTCGAAAACCATCTTGTACTATTTCAAGAACCATCTTATACCACACTGACTGAAAATCCTTGAGTTAAATAATTTCATGCTACTGTTGTCTTCTCACCTTTTTTTCTTGCTAACAATCATGTCCATAGTCTGAAGCAGTCGTCGCTCCAGAGCCAGAATATCTGCATCTGTCACATTCCTGCAAAAAAAGACCACCAATTAGGCCTGCTAATTTCAGAGGAGATGTGCACATGCCTGTGARACAAAGAGAAAAGCCTGTATAAGGAGAATATGCAGCAGCAGTGGAAATGGTTCTAGCATGCAGACATGACAGTAGCTAGATTCAGAAAAGAAGTAACAAAGAAACTTGAAACAATGCCACAGGAAAAGTAGAAGAATCATCTCAAAAACCTGGACAAATATTTCACAAGGCTGCAGTTACCTGAGAAAGTAGGACATGTAAGTGTATGGACAGTTGACAGCCCCAAATCCTGAYAGCAAAGCCATGAGTGTCACCCCAATCACACCAACACGGCTGATGAGCTGTTCTATAGACAGGATTCCTGAGGGAGGGAAAAACATGGCATCAGCAACCTTGCTCTCTTGACTCTGCTCCATATTTGGTGCCTTCCTCAAACAATACAGAGCTGCTCAATTAATCCCACTGCAATGACCCCAGGTAAGAGGAACGACAGACAGGAACTGTGAAAAGCAAGGGGTAGGAAGTCTTCCTCAGAAATCTCATTTAGCATGCTTAGAAACAGGGATGGGAAACTCCAGCTACGAAGAAACTTCAGACATGGCAATATGTGAAGAGGATCCACAGTCAATATTTTGGTTCCAGACTAATAAAGTATGTGTGCCTTTTGCAGGAATGGGAACRTAGATCATCAACCAGGCACTTATAAAGGAGGCATCTTCCATAGACACTTCTGCAATTATCAGCAATAGAGTTACTAAACCAGTTGGTCATGGCAAATTGGCCTAAAAATGTGTGAACCATAGAGAGGAACCCTTGTCCCATCAAYTGTCATTGGAAGTGACCCCTCCCGGTCAGATACAAGTTGTGCTTGTAGGATGGTGGAGTTGGGAAGCTTAAGCTGCTCCTGGCTGGTCACTGTTCATCTGGTTGACACACTTACATTGTTGAGGTGACCATCAACAATGGGCTTCCACCTGAGCACCAAGGGGACTCTAAAACATGTAATTCAACATGAACATCAAGCCTGTCTTGATGGTTACATCACCAAGCACCAAAGTTGCACTTGTTCTTAAACACAGACCTCAATGTGTCTTCCCAGGACACAGTGCCATGTGTAGTAAAYACCACTCACTTTTTAGGGAGCTGGTTACAGAGCAGCTGCCACACACAGCACATTTGGAGCTTACACGATTGCAAAGCTGAGATGGCCGAGCGCCAAGCCACATTTCATGCTTCAGAGAAGTGGAATAAATGATGAAAACAAGGCAAAAAGACTTCACAAAGGGAAACCGAGACACCCAGTCATGTGCAGCTGCACAGAGATTTACAGGAGCTACAGAATGTGCTACAATACACTGGCCTTTTGCCCCACACACTGTCAAATTGCAGCACTTAGAACAGAGGTGCCTTTCCTAAATGACGTGACATTCCACTGGTTGGAGCAATGCTTCCTCATCAAACAGCAACCCTCTTGTGATCAGGTCACATAAAGTGAATGCATGTTCCATCAACTCACATAAAGGTAAGAGCTTTATTAGAACACTGATGTGTCGTTAAACATAACCTTCCTYCTAGTCTGAGCTCCCATACTCAGCTCTGTTAAAGAAGCTGCAGACCAGAGGAGACCTTAAACAAGGGTGCACTTCCCATCTGCAGGACACTGCCATCCTCATCCCCACCTGCCTGAATTGGGTCACCACTCCCTGATGAAACCCACAGCAACCTTGTCTGTACAAGCAGGACAGCAGCACTCCAACACTACAACAGGGAAAGAACAGGTAGAATTCCTTGCTCTAAACTTATGTCTGCACCTGCTAGGATAAGGCATTGTACAACTGTTAAGTGGAGGTATCATCCAGTAAAGTACCAGTTAAAAATAGAAAACAACCCACTCCCAGGTCTGGAAATCTGCAGGTGTGACACAGCCTCCCAGAACCTTTTTGGTGACCTGAAGAGGATTACTAAACTCCATAGCTGAGTTCCACGGGATATTCCATTCTGCCAACTCAAGCAGAGTTCAACACCTTCTGCAGCTCAGTGGATAGGTGTTTTTCTTGGCAATGGAACACTGGGCAGGGGAATCTGCACTATATACATCAGCTGGTGTATTTCAGAGGCAAATGACACAACTACAAAAGACGGACGCACACTTTCTCTTGGGAAAGTTTTAGGATCACAGACAAAAGGGTGAGCAGACCCTATAGCAATTGGTGTTCTTTAACTTTTCTCATATAGATTACTACAGAGTCAAGTAGCTTCCTTAGAAAGACTAAGCTGAGCATTATGTATGCAGACATATTCACCAATTTCAGTGAAACAGACTGAAATTCACCYGTTGGGAACAATATCCAAACAATTTTCCTGTGCAAAGAAAATATAAGGGCAATATAAGTTACACAGGAAACACAGACAACAACCTGTTTCTACAGTGTTCTAATCTTTCAGCACATTGAGGTGCTTCAAGGATTCAGCAGAGCTAGGCACATGCTAACAAGCTCTGTTGGACCCCCCAAGTGCACGCAGCATCTTCRTGCTGCAAATAGTGTTGGTTCCCTGGTCATGACACAGAGTCAGCTAATTCTGCACACCAAAAGTTCTGGCATCCAGCAGGGCTTACCAACTCACATTCCAGTCCCATGCAACTGCACAACCTCTGGGCTCAGGCAGTGCAGGAATCTGTACCAAAGCCAGCACAATTGCCAGGCCTGCTGCTGGCTATAGTCTGTACAGCTCTGGTGTTTAGGCACACTGCTGTGATTTGTCAACTGGACAGCCACTCATGCTAAACTCATCTGATTGCAGTCACAAGAATAACCTGACTGTAACCGATGAAGGACTGGTTGTTGATTTGCTTCTGGGTTTAGTCTCCACAATAAAAGAAATAGATGAATACAAATGGTGATGAAGTTGTTGTGGAGATAGTTTCTGTGCTCTCAAAAGTACACCAAGTCTTTACACAGTCTAGCTTCAGTTAGGACTTATTCRCTTCCTTCAAGTCCTCATGTGGTACTGAAAGAAAACTAATGCAAATAATCCAGGTGGATCCACMCACTTTTGTCAGTGCGACAAGAAAATCAGCAAGAAAATAAAACTCACCATGTTTTGGGCTGAGGATAGGAAATGGATCCCCCAGCTTCCAGAAGAAATACATGAATGTCAACCACACAACACAGGCAAAAAGGAGTTTCTGTCTGTGCACTAATGGAAAGGAAAAAGGGATTATTTAAAAGAGGCTCTTTCTTTAGGGCCTTTTATAGCTTGCAAAATTTCTACATTGATCTAAATGCTACTTTGAGCACAAGTGACCAAAAGAGGTGTCACCTGGCAGAGGTACAACTTGCAGTGTGCACCCCTTCACATCCCACAGATGCAGCCAGTTGAGAAGCCACCCTGAGAGAGCTCCTGCAGGGATGCATTCTGGCTTTTTCCCACAGGGTTCCACTGTCCACATGAGACCATTTTGCTGCTTCTTTCTTGTGTGACCTTGAACATGAATCCTAAATATTTACTCTTCATGGCAAAATTACACATTTTATATTCCCAACCTGCATGCCCATGCTTAACACAAAAAGAGAGATGAATATCAACAGCTCAAGGGTTAAGCATCCATTAGCACATGGAAGAGGGCTCATCCAGACAGGAGAAGCAAAAAAAGCAAAAGTAATTTATTGAGCTTTTCTGCTTCAAGAGTGATTTATTGAGCTTTTCTGCCTCATTTCTTCTGCCCCCTAGCAGAACAACACAGTCTTGCCAAGGGTCCCAGAGTTTGGCTGCAAGCTTAAAATTGCAAAGRAACAAATCTCAGTAATATGACTCTGAAGTGCTCACTTTTGTTGAAACCCCTGAAGAAAAGTAGTGTTTGCTGGGGTCATGTAGAGCATTTCCTGGCTGTTCAATGAATGTTTCATGCTAAAGCATAATGCTCCAAAGGGAAGTTATTTTGCCAAAATAAAGCCAGGGGAAGGAGGGAGTTAGGATGATAGTGACCAAACTTATTTCTCATTTGCATTCACTGTCTCAAATTAGCAGCTTCCCTGCCACAAAACAAGTACTCACATAATCTGATATTGCTCACAACAAAGTAACCAATGTAGAAGGGCACCATGAAGACCAGGATGAGCAAAATGACACACAGGTTCAGCTTCCAATGAAAATATCGAGAGCTAAAATAAAGCCAAAATACTGATTAGCACAGTATCGTAATAAATTTCTCAAAGAAAATTGCATGTCAATGAAATCCTTTCAACTACATCAAGCACTGAATAATACTGGCCTAGCATATAGATCATTCTGGATTTTTTTGTTTTTATTAGGGTAAGGGAAAGGGCATTGTTTGGTTTGGGTTTTTGTTTGATTTTTAAACACAGAGGTCAAGAATGTGTATTTCAAAWTAAACAACTATCCAGAAAATCACACTGGGCTATTTTATCAAATACTGTATTTKCTGTGGTGACTAATGCCAGTTGCAGCATGATTCATGTGATTGACTGCTCATCTGGTTGAACAGCAAATCAAAATTAAGTATAAGCAGTAACTAATTTTCTAATGAACAGCTAAGTCAAAAAAGAACTAATTCATACTGAAAAGACTAAAAATATTTCATTTTGATAATTCAGCATGTTCACTTTAGAGTGAGTTGTCTCATCTGCAAGATTTTGCAAAGCAAGGTTTTATAAATACATAGACAGATCAAAATGATCAATACTCCCCTGACCAAATGAGATTAGTCAAATGCAGGTGAGATTCACCTTGGCTGAACAGAGTTTTCACTTTGCTTSAAGAGAAAAATACATATCCCATTCCCAACAGTAACTCATATCCTCTGTCCTCAGGGAGAAGAAATTACGAGGATCCTTGCCACTTTTTCCTAACTAATTGAGAGGCAAACATTTTCATCTATACTGAAGTTTAGCCCTTTATTGAAAATTATAAAGGCATCMTTGTCAATGATTTTTCTGGCTACAATGCCTATGTATTAAAAATATACAGAACTAACATTCCCTTTCATCTGTTCTATGCTTCTTGCTTTTCAACCCCTTTGACTGCCTTCTTGTATGATTAGAGAGAATAAGAAGAAAACCCAACTTAGCCTCTACATGTTACTGTTCTATCTCCTTTTTCCTACTGAYTTCCGAAGCAGACAGTTTTTACCATCCCTTTTATGTGAAAGTCCTCACCCTTGYGGTCAAGGGAGGATCCATCTTTGATTCACAAATCCTGTATTCTTACAGACATAGCTTTTACTCTACAATTAGCTTCACATCTTACTCAYTGCTTCGACCACCACAGAAAACCAGTGCTTAAAGCTTCTACAGTCCTTAGAATCTGAAAAGTGCTCTTAGCATGATCTGAAGCTTTACAATACTTCCATAAAAGAAATTGTTTCTTTTAACTTCACAAATGGAGAAAGTCAAAGACTAAAGTTTTGCTCCAAGGACCTAGACCACATTAATAGCAACTGCATGGAAAATTGGAAGCTTAYAGCTTCTAGTCCCATATTCTGTCAAATATTCAAACAAATGTTGCAGCATAAACATCTTAATTGAGCTGATGACAGTCTTCTCACATGATTTCCCCAATTCAAGACTAACCCATTAATTTAGAAGTTGCACTTAAGATGCTTGTAGATCACAAGGCAGGCCAGTCCCCAGAGGGCTCTCAGACTCACCTGCTATTCAGCACTCCCAAAATTTCAAAGATGATKAGTTCAAACATGGTGCAAGAGAAGGCAAAAGTCACAGAGAAGATCACTTGGACTACATACTGTCGCACCTGCAATGCAGAGAACAATCCAAGACATGAGGCATTTCCATTTCTGGAATGGTATCCTGATATCCCTCAGATAACAAAACTAATCACAAGGKTTGATGGCCCACAGCTGGATCTCTTGCTTCAAGACACCATACCTTTTATCTGCTTAGGAGGAAACCAAAAGCCCATTGGAAACTAGAGGGCAAACTCATGCAGTAACACAGCTCTTAGACATTAACATCAGATTTAATAACAAAATCCTCATCAGAAAAACTGTTGGGGTCTGAATTTGGCTTGCACTTAAGCCATCTCTGACCTAGACTACAATCTCATAATCCTCTAGMAACAAGACAATGGCATTTTTATCCCGTCCAGTCCTCATAACCAATTCATCTGCAAGGAGAATTTCACCTGCATTGCCAAGTTAACCATTGGATTTGACTTTGTATCAAAAACTTCACATTTATATCAGGCAAAAGGCAAAACATTTAGGTTTCCTATTACCTACATCTCCTCCATATTTCTTTTTATTTAATAGTGGCCAGTATGGAAACTTCCAGTGGCCCCTGAAGAACCCATTTCCTCAAATATCTASGAGTCTTCCAAAGAGAAGCACAAGAGGAAATTAAGAAGAAAGTAACTGCAGATAAGATATAAAGGATTAAAGAGAGGAATAAGGCTAAATGCAGTTTTTAAAATATTTCTATCATTGGGAGTAATTTTTCAGATACAGACTTGCAACGATTTTTAAAACACAGACTTCTCACCTCATAATCCTTGAAGAGCTTTCGCATGAAGAAGAGCCACCCAAATCCAAAGAACAGCACCTGCAGAAGAGATGAARCACTTAACATTTGTATCCTGTAACTTGCTAAACACAAACCCCACTGCACTGCTGACTGTAGATTAAGCAAATGGAAGGAAAAGAGCTAAGCCAAAGTACTCAAGATCCACAAAAGATTAAAACTTGCCACAGTACATGGAAAAAAATATATTTAAAATATCCAAGTGCAGTAAATACAGAAGGGTGTGGCCTTAAGGAAGATCCAGATTTCTCTAAGGAAGACAACAGACTTCTGTATTTTTAAATTCTCAGAATTCCTCAGCTCCTGGCCTGACAGAATCMTTTGCACTGATTCTTATTTCACTATTCTAATCTACAGATTTAAAGGCTATAGTTTTTTACAGAAAATGCAAACAAYTGAATGTCCACCACATCCACATCTTCTAGGGATAAGTAAATTTTATAAAAATATCTGCTGTTTCTTGTACACTATCAGTGAGTGTGAATTTTCTTCAGAGGTCTTTACAGCACGTCTGGTTACACACTGRCACATTGTGGGTGAAAGGTGCTACAATCATCTCTGAAGTGGGGAAAAGGCAGAGCAGAATGCCKCAAGCCACAATCCCAAGTTGCAGAAAGCCACATGGACAAGGCAGGTGAAGCAGAAAAACCCAATAACACTTTGCATTTCAGTGGRTGTCAGAGCACTTTACAAAATTTGGTTAAGTTTCTTCAAACTCCTGAAGGGAYCAACTTAACATCACAGATATTTTGCAGATGACTTCAATGAAATAAACACAAATTGAATAAGGTGGCCAAAATTGCATTTACGTGTCTTCAGAGAGTAAAAGGGGACTGTGTTGTCAGGCCTTTCACGGGTAATCCCTTCTATTCCTCATAAGACTGAAAGGGAGTGTAATRATTTAAAAGAACCCAAACAAAAAAAGAATTAAGAAAACACTCAGCATTTTTAACAGAAGTAGCTTTGACCAAGGCAAAGACAAAATTCAGTACATGTCAGACGTCAAGGAACAAAGTCAGTGTATCTCCTCAGAGCACATGGAAAAGGCCAGAGTTTCTGCCCACCCTGCCGTGGAGATGGGAAACTTTCAAAGACAAAAACAAAGGAATCATYGTGGATTACTTCCCTGACATCAGAAGCACAGTGGCAAAGGTAACAGACTAAACATGATTTACAGACAAGGAATACCTGGAATGCTGGGCAAGAAGATCAAACACAGCTGCCTTGAAAGAAGAACTGAAATAGGAATGAGGTCAAATGAGTGGTTTGTAACACCTGGCAAAACTTGTTTGAGGAGGACTTCAGACTTTAAAGTCTGCTAGCAAAAAGGGAAGATATTCCATAAGCCTCCTATCTACAGGTCATAAGTTAAAGAAGTATGATAAGCAAACGAAATCTACATAAAGTAATTCCACATTTAACAGTGGGAAGGAGGAAAAGGTAGAGACAAACTTTTCAAAAAGAAGAGAAAAAGATGAAGAGATAAGCAAGTACAGAAACAGAAAAYTGTACATGAAGATTRTATTTCCCTTGTGTTAGGGACTGTACAAAAGCACAGAAAGACATTTTGGTAAAGGTCACACTCTAAGACACTGAAGGTGAACGCAAGATGTAAAGTCAGCAAAAACTTGAGCATTTGACAATTACATGCAGAGACTGAAACATCTAACTTGGTATTGCTCAAGATRATAAGATGCAAAGCTGCCATCAGAAATGGAAGGGGAGATAGTAGATAAGTTAGAACTCAGAATTCGAAGCAAAGAAGTGCGAGTTTTGTTCTGRGGGAATTGTTAACAGTACCAAAGCAAAGCTCAAGCCACCAAGAGTGACAAAGAACACTGTTGAGCAAAAATCAAAGCATTACCAAGTAGGAAGGAATCCTTCTTCTAAGAAATGGTCAAAAGCTGTCCTGAAAACTGTCAGGAATTACGGTTGTGCACTGAAGTCAACCTAAGACAAGAACCTGCTGCTGAGCGGGGAAAGGTTCCCTTCCCTCGGGTCATCCCTCATCACTGCAGAACAAAACTTTCACACCAGCTCAGAAACTTAAATCAGATTCCTCCGTGATCCACTTAAACTCATTTTCATCAGGTCCAACTGCTTAARACCAGCCTTCTTAACGAGTACCAGAAACAAACCAAGAACTCAATAGAGACCAGCAAGATGAGCTTCCCTGCCTGTTCTAACCGGAGAAATTGAAATTTACACTGAGCTCGKCTCGCCTTGACTGGACCCGGCCGGACCATCCCTGAGGGTCCGCGCGCCCCTCGCGCCGGCAGCTGCGCACGCGCGCCCCCAGGCCCCGCCCCACGCGCCCCCACACGGACACGGCGGAGGGAAAGGGAACCCCGGTGGCGGCGTGACCGCCCCGTTCCCCCGCGCTTCTCCCGGCCGGAGGCGCCGCGCCGCAGCGGCGGGGAAGGGGTGGGTACCTGTGAGGTGAACATGATGCTGGAGTCGATGAGGAAGCTCATGGCGGCGCCCACMGCCGCCCGCCCGCCGCGCTTCCGGCTCCGGTGGCTGCGGTGCGCAGGCGCGGCAGAGCGTGCCCGGGGCGGGGCCAAGGCGGGGAAGCTCCGCCCCT